TACAAATCATTCAACTTCAGTGGATTCACATCAGACATTAGTACTTTTATAAAACATTACCTACTTTCATTGGGTGAAAAATCGGCGTGTGATTAGCGAAGACCATAGAGCTAGCTAGCTCCCTATTAAGTGAATTGTACCTACATCAACGCGAAATTAATTCGCTCATCGTGAGCCCTCGATAAGACATCAAGGAAGTTTCAGACTAGAAAGAAAACTTTATATTGCTTGTAAGTTTGTAAAACTTTTGTATATAAATCATTGTTTGTAATAACTGTTATTGTTAACTGTATTATTCTTTGTGTATTAAGATATATTTGTAATAAAAAGAAAACTGTGTGTATCAATCTTGTTGGCAAATATCATAAATTGGAGATATATCGGCATTTATTTAACTACTAAATTTAAATTATCATTTAGCTTGGTTTGAGACCATTCGAAATTGTAATACGTAACAAATAAAACAAAAGAGAAGCGTTTAACCCTTTACAAAATCATACCTAGTAGGTAGAGTTCTTAGATTATTATTTTTAACTCACACATTTTTTAAAACACTTTATGTATGACAGATATTTTATTTGAACACCATCAAAAATATTGTCAATCTAAAAATATTTTCTGTAGTGGATCAAAATATTATCGTTAAAAAAAAGATGAAAAGTTTCAGCTCTAGCGGTTGGAGGTGGGGGGGGGGGGTCCTAGAACCAACAATTCCTCCCTGCTTTCATAAGTGGTTTAAGTATATAACAACTGTCAGTCATAGAAGAAAAAACAAAACACGAGAACGTATAAATAGACTAGTGATTTTTGTCTTTAGCACCAGCTGAACAAACGTTACTTTAATTACAATTTATTTCGTTTCAAAATATTTCGAATTACCAATAACCAAACATCAATCCTCATTAAAATATTAAAAAAGATAGATTAAACCTAGAAAGACATATGCGGTGAACATTTATACATTAATTAAATATTTTGTATGAAAAATAAACTTACCTGATATGCAGGATTGTGTAGTACTTTTAATTGCAAACCTATGCTACCAGCATGAAAGAAATCTACAAGAACTTTCAACGAATGTAGAAGTCGTTGGAAAAAGGTCATTTTTTCCTGTAAATGAGTCATAAAACATACTATTATACAAGTGTTTAATAGCATATTGGCGTTTGTCTTCAACCATTATTTTTGCAATATTCAATTTTAAATATTAACGTAATGTGCTTGTAAAAATCCAGCTTGTATCTGTGACGGATTTATTGTTATACATTTATTTTAATATTGATGTTTGTTTAAATTAAATTTATATTTAGAAATGTACATAACGTATACTATTAAATATGTATTGCGAAACTCTCGGATATTCTCTAAAGTTGTAGAAGATTCTCGAGTGTAAGAATCAACAATATATGTGTGTACGTAAACGCTATTGTATCTTTGTATTGTTACGTAATCTGAATTTTCGCGAAACTCTCCACACGCCTACAAATATAACCAACGCGACGCGCCTAAAAACAGTATATATTATTGGTGTTCTATAGTTGGTATACTATGAACCTCGGAAGCTGCAATTGTGATTAACGCTTATTAATCGGCTTCAGACATATTGATCAGGAACGTTTATAAATTTCGAACATTACAAATCATTC